GCTTTTCGCACCCGCCCCCCCCCCCCCCAGCCCCTGACAGCCCGTGGGGTGGGGGCTGTCCCCAGACAGCCAGGGGACCCCACGACATCTGTCCCAGGAGACAGTGCCTTCAAAGAGCGGAGCTCAGCGGCTTTGGGACTGGCAAGGGTCTGTGACAGCCCAGCACCGCACGAAGGGAGCACCCAGCCCGCCCCAGGTCCCCACACGGTCTCACTCACCAGGTGTGGTAGAGGTCGAAGACGAAGTCGGGCCCTGGGTAGGCAGGAAGGAGAGGTGTCAGAGCTGCGTGGTGCCAAGCAGTCGCCTTTGCTGTGCCACGAGTCTGTGCAGCAGTGTGCGGATGGGCAGGACGGCCAGCCGCACTGGGACATCACCGTGCATCCCACTCCTCAGCCTCTGCGTGCCTCCAGCTTGCCCCAGAGCCACCCTGCCCCCAGGTGTCCCCAGCCCCCAGGGACCAGCAAGTGCCAGGCATGCTCCCCACATCCCAGCCCCAAAAAAAGCCCTGCTGCTGCCGGTCCCGCCGCTCTGCCCGTACTCACGGCGCCAGCACTGGCCCCTCTGGTACCATCGGACGAAGGTGTAACCAAAAAGCACAAGGATCAGCAAGGCCAGCCCAACAGCCAAGACAACCCCGAGCGTGCTGATCGGCTCCTGCCCTGTAAAGGAGAGGGAGAAGGGGCTCTGCAGACAAATGTCTCTGGGAGGCTGGGGGTTCTGCTCATCCCCTGGGGGCACAGGGCTGCTGTGGGGCTGGGATACGTCCCTCCACCCCCCTCTGTCCCTGTGGCGTGGAGGGACTGCGCTCCGCAAGGCTGTCGAGTGTTGTGATGCGGAGGTTTTTGCTACCCTCAAAGCCCCGTGCCAGAGACTTGTGATCCTGGTCACACAGCCACTGCCTCTGCTGTCCCCAGGTGAGCTGGCAGGCAGGACGGTTACCTGAGAAGGGAGCCCAGAGCAGAGTGTGGGCGACCTGCTGCCCTCAGCCTAAGCAGGAAGGGAACAGCTGTAAACAGGAGCCCTCATCCCCCGTAAGCAGAATCCCCTGCTATTCCTGCTCCTGACCCCGCCGGGAGATCACCCAGACCCCAGGGAGCTTTTGGCTGTGCCCGGGGCCCAGCACATTGTGCTGGGGGCAAGGAGTTGGCCACCCTGACGATGCCTGTGTCCCCACTCCTGGTCCCATGTACGCTCTACTGGGGTAGAGCACCTTTGCCGGCTGCGCAGGGAGCTGTTGGTGATCAGCAGTTTACCCATGCAATTTAGCTGTACGTTTGGCAGCAAAAGTGCAGGCAGGGCAGGGAGGCGGCAGAGCAGGGCTGGGGCTGAGGAGACCCTCGCTGGCTGTCACTTCCCCCAGCCGGCGCATCTTGCAGCTCCGCTG